AAAAATATTAGTAATTGTGGGAATTGTAGACCTTGCACTAAAACACCTTTTTTGACAGCTGCTTGTGGTGACTACAGAGTTTAACTAAAATTAAAAAACAATGGAAAGTTCGTTACCCATGTTATATCACCTTGTGCGTGAACGAAGGATTTTGAAAAAACAAATTTTTTCTAGAAATGGCGATGATTTTTCTTCAAAAATCGTGATTTTAAGTGTTTCGAATTTAGTTTTTTTACCAAAATATAATAAATTTTGGTTCAAATTAAAATTCCTTCGTTTACGCACTAGCTATTGTATGTATAAAGAACCCCTGAAAATTTCAGCCCGTTCGGTTTAGCGGTTTTCGAAAAATCGTAGTCACCGTAACGGTAGTTTTCATAAAAAACGATCTCAAGATGATAGCCTTTAAAGTTTTAAACGAATATAAATATACTTTTCTTTGAGAAGTAGCGGGCTATAAACAGCCTTAACTTTGGTTTTAGTGCTCCGATTTTGATAAAATGTCAGGAAAACATTCTCTATAGTATGTACTTTTGATGTATGTAATAAAAAAATCGATTTTTTAATCCATAAAAAGGTATGTAACCTCTTAAGGAACAAGGATCTTTATAGATTCTTTATATTTTAAAAAAATTATTTAAAAAAAATTGACGTTTCGGAGTTGAAAACAAACTTGATCTGATATGATGATGATGATGATGATGATGATACCATGATATAAAAAAGTTTTATATAACACTGTGCAACAAAATTTCATTTTTTTTATTTCTGGGATCGCATATTGTAATTTTTACAGGTATTTGACACTTATATTTAAAAAATAAAGTTGAAAAAATGGTTTAAAGAATGAATTAAAGTAGGGAGGGAGGGTTCTAAGCACAGATTCCTGTTACCGAAATGTTACCGACACTTGAGAAAAAAATAGTTCTGATCCGTGCTAAATGTAAAAAGCCATAAAGATTAAAGGGAGGCGAATATTTAGCACTGTTTGTTTTTTCTTTACAAAACAGGGCTAAATATTCTCCTCCCTTTAATCTTTATGGCTTTTTACATTTAGCACGAATCAGAACTATTTTTTTCTCAAGTGTCAGTAACATGTCGGTTACAGGAATCTGTGCTTAGAACGCTCCCTGTATATCTACTAATTAAGTTTTTAAAGCGACATATTAAAAATATGCCACCTTTGATATTTTATATTTTTTCACCAAATGAAGCTACAAATATGTTTTACATATCCTGTAAGTTTTATTGTGGTACAGCCAGTGATTTTAGAGATGAAATGACCCACGATGGGACATATAAAATTACAGGACATATAAAATACATTTTTTGGCTTCATCATGTGAAAAAATTAAGTAGCATAATTTAATATGGTATTTTAAAAAATTAATTAATTGTTTAAACAATTAATTCAAACATTTTAATTCATTTTATTTTTTAAATAAAATTATATTTCAGTACGAACAATTTAAGAGTTTAATGATTAAAATGTATTAAATAGAACAAAAGATATCGCTTTTTTTAATAAAAAAAGTACCAAAAAATTACAAATTCAATGTCAGCCAATTTTAAAAATTAGAATTAAAATATACCAAGTTACAGATAAATCCCAAGAACTCACAAAAATTTTTTTGTTGAACTGACGTGGAGAAAGCAAATACAACAAAAAAATCAACTCACCATTTATAAGAATAATTTTTTTTGTTCGATAATAAGTATTCTTTCTTTCTCTTCTTCTATCCTTAGTTGTTATTAAATGGAATATGCGATTATTAATTAAATAAAATAAATGACATTTGATTCAAGTATTAAAATTATTATTTTAAGCATAATTTATTTAATTTACAAGGATACACTTTCATTTTTACTAAATATTTATTTGACTGTATCATGTATTGCTAAACACAATTAATTTTTTTTGTCTATACAATTAATTTAAATAAAAACAAAGTAGGATCAGAATATTTTTGTTTTATTTAAATAAAAAACTAAAAAGCATTAAAATTAATTTTTCTATTTGAAATAACGCTGAAATTTAAAAATATTTAATAACAAATTTTCGAAGCATTTATATATTTATTTGCGTTAAAAAATAAAGAAAACTGATAGACTGTCTGGAATTAATATTAAAAAAAGCGTTTTGTAGTCAGATATAATAACCCCTGATAATTTTCTTTTAAGAAATTTTGAAAATAAATTTTGCACAAATACAGTTTCAATCTACAACAAATATGTTTTACTACACAAGCACAAATACATTAATACTAAAATATATAAAAAATGTTCATTAATATTAATTAAGTTTTATTTATGTTTACATATATGGTTTGTTTTGTAAATTTTTCATGTTAATTTCTGTTGAAATTTAAAAAATATTTTTAAATTAATGAACATTCTTTCAACACTGACTAATTTTGAACAATTCTAATTCTACGTGCTACTGTGCATAGCAAATTATTTATAGAGAATAATTTATTTGATCATTTTAGGAGTAGTGGTTTACCATATGAGGAACAGTGAAAATAGAAAATTTTTTAAATGCCCTACTGCAGACATAAAAAAGTGCAAACGTGAGACTGATCGGAAAGTCAAAACTACCTTGAACGATTTCACAAATCGGTTAAAACGACATGACAAAAGCTTCCATTAGAAATTTAACACTTGCAATCGTACAGAATATTTGTATAATAAAAAGTCCAGTTTAAAAAAAATATGTTAGAAATATGACAAAATAATATAAATGTCTATGTAGAAAATTTTATTGTAAAAGTATTTTCTTGTAATTGCAAATACTTGTGCACTTTGGTAAATTGTATAAATATTTGTAATAAAATGAAGTACAAATAAATTACAATTATTAACTTCGTTTTCTGTTTGATATAACAAGAATATTTACACTGAGAAAAACTTTTAGTAAACGATACCATTTATGTCATTTCTATGATCATATGTTACTCATTTAAATGTATTTATAGATATGTAGTAAAATATGCTGCCAATTTGTTAGTTAATTCAATATTGAATAATATATTGCCTTTTTTATTCCTAAAGAGTAAGAGGAAGAAAAATTAATTTTTTTTTATTAATGATAAATTACGTTTATTACAGATTAGAATACAACATTTAATGTGAAGAATACAGAAACTCATGTAGAAATTAACTATCTACTGAGTACTGCGCCAATACAAGAAGTAAATTTTAGGTGCTGACCAAACAGCACATGAATATTAAGGATATCCAGAAGCTCTTGTAAATTAAAAAATTTTTGTAGGATCTCCATGGCTATTCTACAGACATCCTAAGGATATTCAAATTTCCGGAAGGCACTAGATATTTCTTGGTCGTCCTTATGATATCCTAAAATATCCGTTGCTGTGATATCCTGTACAGGATCCTTATAGGATCCCTAACGGTTCCTGTGTAGGTATTGTTTTAGGGATCCGGCAACAAGCATGTAAAATAACCTGTACTGGTAAAATATAAAATTTTGTACTGGCGCAGTACTAAAAAATGTGTTAAATATTATTATCTAAAATATAAAAAATAATAAATTCTTATCATTTTACGCCTTATTGAATTCTATTGTGATCATTATTATTAACCTCATCTGTAATTCGTAAAAACAAATTTTAAATTATAATTAAATCTTGGGGGGTTTTAAATCTACATACTTTGCTCTTCCCGAGTTGAAAAGTATGATAGGGATTTCCCAAATTAGACCCAATTAGAAAGTCCATCTACTTCCAAGGTAGGCTGTTAATGGGGTTAAAATGCTTTTCCCAATTATTGCCGAAATTATTGGAAAATTATCCTAACAGATGTTTTTCCTATAGGAGTATTCCTTCATAGGAACCTACATAGGTTCCTATGAAGAATCTTATAAGAATTCATGTGGGATCCATATAGGATTCCTTGTTGGAACCTATATAGGATTTTCCAGTAGGGTGGGTCCATTGTTAGTGAGGCTTGATAGGGCAAGTCTGACTCTGAGATATGTGACAAAAGCATAGAGGAGAACGAAGATTGTCTTTATACCCTAACGAGGCAGAAATATATACACCTCACCCAAGGATTTCCACCATATTAGCTTTACATTTTTCATTCTAAATTTAGTACAAAGTCTGATGGATAGATATATTCGTAGCAAGAATCCTTGGTAGTGAACGAACTACTTAGTCACTAATGATGTTTTACTAATTTTTCGTGATTACTACTTGCATGAAATAGTTGAAGTGAACTTGGTTGATAGATGGTGTGAAAACGTTGGTCTGTCGGTCAACCCAAGGAAAATGGAAGCTGCTGCCTATACTAGATGTGAGCTGCTTTAGAAGATAACAGTTAGAGGAGAACTGTAACACTATACCATATCTACCTCTATAATTAAGAAAAAAATCCTCTTCTTTATTGAAAAATATGATCATTTTTAGAATAAAATGTAAAAGGAATTTATCAGTGAAATATTCATATCATTTTAAGAATTTTTTTGGTTAACAGTTTTATTTATCATAATCAATTTACATATGTTTCCAAAGAAGTCAAGTCAGTCAGATGGTTAGGACTTTTAACTTTCGTGCGTTAGATTCTGTGATCGATTTCATCTTGCGTGTTTTTCTGCATTCAAATCAAATACTTCTCATACAGTCAGTGTTAAAAATAAAAATTCTCAATTAACAGTGTATTTAAATTAAACAATATCCAGTATTTCCACATTTTTAAATGTAAGCATGTTAATTTAAATGATATAATAATTTGTTATAAATAAAACGAAAAGTTTCTCAGTGTATTTTTTTATTTTAGAAAGGATATTAATCAGAGTATCATTTAGAAAACGCATTCACAGTTTTGTATTTTATATTTTTAAAATACATGGAAAAAATACCAATTAATGCACAAGTATGCATTTAAAACTTGATAAGAAAATACTGAAAAATATAATGTACGAAGGTGTTAAAAAATAGTTAACTTTAAGATCCTATAAAATATGTTCTTGGCAAACTTACAACATCAATTATTTGCATAAGCGTAAGGCCGAAGCTCAACTGTAGGGGATCGGACTCATTGCCCACAGGCCGCTCCAGCACGTTGTACGCATCCAGCAGGTCGTTTAGCAGCCGCTTCTCGTGATAACCGCCACTTACCAATCCTAACCAAGTATTTTTTCAGTCAAATTAAAGAATCGACTATCACTATTTTCGAGCATCTCATTGTATCCCATTACTTCAAATATATTAGAAGAGCAAATTTTATTTTATGTATTATTTACATATAATAAAATACTTGTTTTAGATTACATTTAAAAAAATGCGTCACCTATAAGGATTTTAACCTTTTGAAATTGAATAAAAAATTTGAACATACTCGAATGGATATGAAATTTTTGAGACATTGTTTATTTTTAATTATAAATAATTAACATTTTAACCTTATTATCCAAAAATATGACAGAAATCAGTCGTTTGTGCAGTAGCTAATTAATATGTATAAATACCGCGCATAAGGCTATTTCACTTGTCAGTTAGTGAACAGACGACAGGTGATTTATATGATTAACCGAAATTGATAAATTTTAGATAAAAAATCTATTATATAATACAGTGTAATAAAGTTTACCAACTTAGATACAAGTGACATAGCCTAATGCGCAGATACCTATTTTATCTAATTAGTTCTACTGAACAAACCACTTGGCAATTATTGCGGTTACAAATTTTAAACGGAAATAACGAAATTGCACCAAATTTTCGAAAAGATATTACTTTGCATTTAGTCAAATTTAAATCGAATGAAATTAAATAATTAAATTTAATTAATTCAACAACGTCACTAATGTACAAAGCGAAGAATGGGGATTCTAAAAAGGAGCCTTGAGAATCCACACTTCCACCTAAGAAACCATGAGTGCAGAAGACATATAAAGATATCACTATCCTTTTCACTCTCATGATTTTCTGCTTTGCATTCTGCATTCGCGCCGTCATGGGACTGAGGCCTTAGGCTGTTCAATGAGCCCAACTGATTATTAGTTAAGCGAGCGTGCATTTGCAGTATATAATTACAAGATGACGTTGATAGTACGATAGAGGAACATTAGTTATAACCAACCTCCAACTCTTTAAAGTCAGTTCTGATAAATAGAAGGACTTAGCCGATTGAGGCCCTTTTCCGTTTTGAAGAACCTTGAGTTCCGCTGAAATATGTTGATGTTGATTTAAAAGTCACAAACGTGATAAAAATTTTGAGTTTTATCAGCGAAGGGATTTGACTAACGAGATTTGGGTGATTTAGATTTGAATCGAAAAGATGCTTGAATTGTGTCAATCAGAAACTACTTGTGTTAATCAAGCTAAGAAAGAGAAGCAATTGTCATTGTCACTAATGTTACTGCGCAGGGTTAGAATTGGCATTTAATTTTTCGGTAGTTAGTAAAGGGTTTAATTTAAAATAAAAAATACTGGCTAATCATTTCTGGGGAATAACAACAAGGAGGACCACCATAAGTTTGAGTCCGTCTAGACGCAACGAGTTGTGCCGCGGATTGCTAAATCGGCTTGATGTATGAACGCACTACACCTGCACATGACGGTCACCTGATTGAAATGGAGACCATCATGTGTAAGGGGGCGTGGATGACCGGTCGAGAATTTATCTTCCCGTAAGCCATTGCATGTCTTAAGAGGCAACTTATAGAAGGAAATTCGAACGCTTACGCCTCCTCTTCTGGAGGCAGGGTGAGACTTCTGTCTATCCATTTTGAGGAGAAGGAGACTAAAGATATGCCTTGACATTGACCTTGTCCATTTCTTCGACACCCTCTTTTGCACACTAGGCATCGTCTATCTTGAGGGAAAAAAAGATGTCATCAGAAGGAATTCTATTCTAACAAAAGCGTTTTTCCATCGCCGCAGTACCTTTCCCTCAAAGTAGCACAGAATTTGAGTTCAGGAATGGTTACTGTATTAAAGGGAACAACAATTGTTTTTACTATTATGGCTGTTAAATCATTTCATAATTTTGGTCCAGTGAACAGCATTTTATTTAAAATAAAATATTTTATTACTACTTTTATGTAAGATTTTATGTAAGATATTCTTAGTGACGAAATCCTTAGGATTTCATATGATATTTTTTGTAAGATTTAATGTGGGTAATTATGAAGGAAATTAATATAAAAATGTAAGAAATTACATAAGAATCCACATGGATAGAAACACAAACCCAATTTCACATATGGCGCGTTTTACGCTCTTATAATAGGATAAAATTATTAATTAAACTCAAGGTTCTAAATGCTTATCAAGTTAGTACGATATTGAAACGGTATCCTATTTTGATGCTATCCCTTCTCTCTGTTTCCAATGTAACAAACAATAAATTTGTTTAAATTGGGTGCTTTAATTGAAGTTCCAGTGTATATACGTAAACAACCGAATACACAAAAGCTTGTCTTGAAGTATAGTGAAATAATGTGATACGAGATGCGCAAATCACAGTGGTCGGTTCATTATGAAAGTATCATGTCAGTTTCTTTAAAAAAATGCGAAAGACTATACAAAGTCACCGATCAGTTGCATTTTGGTCTATAAATTTATTGTTGTTTCTCGATTTTAGATTATTTACAGTGATATAATAATTTTAGCAGTACAATTTTAGCTGATATCATTTTAAACGCTGAGCACAAGTGTATAGCTTCTTTTACACACCTATGATGCTTATATTTAGTGATACGTAAATGCATGTTTGATATATTTAAGTGTGCGAATATGTGCATGTAAAAAAGCATTGCGAGTATAATTTCTTATTATGCATATAAGAGAGAGCAGATTTAAAATAATAATTTTCTAAAACAATACTGTTTATGATGTAAGAAATAATAATTTTCAGAAAAATATTACATTATGAGACAAAATTTAGAGCAATGTTAATTTTTAATGTTCTGTTAATATTTATTATATGACACACTAAAGAAAGAGACATAAGAAAAAAAATTATAAGTTATGTTTGATTATAAGTTTCTTTTTAAATATGAAAAATCAAAATCAGTTTTTAATGAATATTTTGGATTTAATGAAGACTTAATGGTCAGTGAATTGTACTAAAACTTGATCCTCTTTGTGTATTTTTACTCCATATATCAAAACCACAGCCAATAATTTTTGCTTTTTATGTTACTTTCTTTAGAGCGTGTTACATATAATAAATAAATCCTAGTATATCAAATACTTTGTTTCATATAGGGTAAATAAAGAGATCCCAGTAAAAAAGGAATTATTGAGCAAGCTGGACAATTGGACTGCTTGCTCAATCATCCAATACATTAGGCCCAATCAACCTACACGTATTTAGAGGCTAAGAAAAGGAAAAATTGACTTAACTTTATATAAATCTTAAAAAAAAATTAATAAAAATAGATAAATATTGATAAATAAAATATGAAAGTATCTATAATAAGCAAAAACAAAGAGTTTCATGAAATATTATTTTTTTGTTGACAGTGCAACACTGCGCATGTGATTCTATGGGTATAAGTAAACTTTTGTTACCGACTATTGATATTTACCAATTGAAAATTTCTATTTTTGAAGAAGGAAACATATAATTAATATGAAAAGAACTATAAATAAAGTGATTAGATTAAAATACAATAAATTCAACTGTTTCCTTCTTCAAGAAAAGAAAATTAATATATATCGAGTGTCGGTAAAGAAATATACTTTTACCTGCAGAATCACATGCACAGTAACCAAACAAAAATATTTCATAAAATTCGTCGTTTTTGACAATTACAGTTTCTTTTACAGTTTATTTTTCAATTGAGCAGACGGCTTGCTCGATTGTCCAAACGGCTTGATCAATAATTCCCTTTTTACTGGGATATTATTCATTATCTTTTACATCATTTTAAGTTTTATTATATATTTATAGTTCTTATAAATTATTCTATTTCATCCATTATCAATTGTAATTTTTACCAGTATAAAAGTTAATGAGTATTCAGATTAATTTAAAATTATTTTTCTATATGACAAATTATTTTTTTTTTTAGGCATATATATAAGGCAATGAGATAAAAGCAATCCATTTAATGTTATTGGATTGGTACTATACTTTAGTAAATTGTTGTTTGATATGATTGTAACAAATCCCTAAAACATAAGCTTCTTTAAAAAAAATCATAGAAAGCAGTGGGAGTTGCAATTTCGACATTTTAAGTTTTTTTCCGTTTGAGATCAGCATGTCATTTCCCGTAGTTTTTGATGCGGTGAATCCAAATTTGGCAACAAAAACCTCCTATCACGTCAGGATTTTGAGAAAGTGGGGGTAAATCTGCCAAAAATCACGTTTTTGGCAGTTTTGAAATTTTCTGCCGGGTAAATCCGACGTGCTGAAGATTTGTCATTGGGGTCAAATTAAAGCTTGAACCCTATACTTTACGAAGGTGTAGCGATATTGACAACAACAACACAGTAAATTAAAAGGCATTAAAATAAGCTGCAACGCTTATTATTTTAATCCATTTTGGTATTAAAATAAGCAAAATTGGATTAAAATAATAAGCGTTGCAGCTTATTTTAATGCCTTTTAATTTTCTGTGAAATTAAATTAGCTGTCAACCATGATTTTTTACAGTTGTCAAGCTTAAAAATTAACTCACACTGTCCTTAAATATAGATCTGTTTAAAAAATGATTGGAATCGCTTAAAACTTTTACTCATGTATTTTTGAAGTAGCTGATTACGAATATGAAATCAAATTTTTAAAATTCAAAATGCTGAATTCAACGAATTTTGAAAAAAGTTGTACGCCATATATTGGATTCACCATTTTGAATTTTTTAAATTTGATTTCATATTCGTAATCAGCGACCCCAAAAATACATGAGTAAAAATTTGTTTGACCATCGAGATATTTCGATACTTTTTCACGTGCTTTGCATTTACTTTCTTTTTTTAAGAAAGGAATTACATATTTTATAATTTTTTTACTAACAAATGTGTCTATTTATTAAATTTTTCATTTTTGGGATCTTTCCAATTCGGTACAATGGACTGCGGTAAAAGAAACTTTCGGTAAAATGGATTCAGGAAAAACGGTTGGATACCGTCGATAAATTATTATTCACAGCATACCGGTAGAATTCGACTG